TGTGCACGTACTAAATCTAGCATAATGATAACTCATTATTTTATAAGTTCCACGTAGAAAAAGGCAAGACTGATGCAAGAAACCGATCCCTTTTTTAAAGAACCCATGTTTTTAATGATATCAAATCCCTAAAAAGCCCCAAAAAGACTAGCAATGCACTTTTTACTCTTCTGAGGTTGCAAGAGCCCAAGACCGGTACCGATTCCATGCCATCTAGACACTACTCTTGCCTGCTTGTTTGCCGCCATATTCGTTAAAAAAATCTTGATTCTTCCTTAAAAATGAAAAACACGACTAGAGAATTTACCCTAAAAACCCCGTGTTTAAACGCGCACTGCGAATATTATCATCATACGTAACATATCAAAGAGCATTCCCAAATCGCTCACTCCCTCCACTTCACAAACATATAACAGTAAACACAGTTCTCGCTAATCTACCGCATCTAATCCTCAACCACTAACAATTTAACTACAAAACAATCTCAAATCATTCCCACGAACTTTAAATTCGAAATAATTATTTAAAACCACCCTTCGGTATTTAAAATCTAACAAACAATGAATTAAAAAGCGGTTAAATTGAAATAATAGTGCGTTCGGTACCGGTCGCGTGGCGTCCGGCTAGTTTGACGTAATCAGATCAAATGAGTAAAGCGCGGTAAATACACTGTGACGTATGCATTCTGATTCTGTTTTTGAATTCGAAACTGTCAGTTGCAAACTTTTTTTTAATTAAGCCCTAATGGCTTGTGTTGAGTTTAAGCATGAGGTTGGATTTAAAATATGTAAGTTGTTATGCGTTATTGTGTAAATTATTAAATTTGTGTAATCAATAAATTTGGATTTTATTATTCTGTGGGTTTTATTTTAGGGTGTGAAAATAATATTATGCATCTACATGCAAGAAATGACCTGGAAATGGTTTGTAGGTTACCAGTTTTTCTGTTCCTACAATACTTTTCCACGAATGCAGAGCAGATCAAACTAACATAGTCATAAAACATTTTCAAATAAAATGACTGAAGTTTGCAGAGTGAAAGCTCTATAACATTGCACAAAAATTAAGTTAATTAAGTTACTTACAAAGAAATAATGAACATGCTTATAAAGCAAACTATTTAGGCCCAAGAACTGTCAATGTTGTCCAACCAGCGTCAGCTAAAGCCTCCAGCGCAGCACTAACGCCAATCTTCAAGCCTTCATATCGTCCAATTTGCATGGGACAATGCCAACTGTCCCACAGACATGGCCCGTCCCCTCGAACGAACGAGTGACGTCATTGTGACGACGTCGAGTTGACGCCGCGCGCCTCACTGACCATTCACGTCTAGAATAGGGGATTGAGTGACAAGTATCAAGATTGTTTGGGCCGAGTTGTGAGCTGTCAAATGTTAGTTTTTTTTTCTGCGTTTGCAGTGTTTGTTGAGTGATTTGTTCTATTGTGACGTATGTAGGTGTGTTTTGTTTTTAGTTAGCACTATGGATGTGGTGATGTGATTGATTGCCTGTCTGCCTGTTCAGGAAAAATTATTGTCAGAAATACTCAAACATTTTTTCTAACGTTCGTCCACACGATGATATTCACCTGCATCGTGAATGCATTTACAAACACAGTTTCAAATATAGATGACAACTAGATCCGGAAACAATTTGTAAATCACACAGATTTTTTTTCCGTGCGAGCATCCAAATATTTTGCATCAGCCGATTGCACTTAATAAAGATATCATTAAAACCCGCTTTTGCTGTACTTCAAAGTCTTATCTCTATAGAGTTTGATACTTTACTTCCAATGTCATTACATTCTTAAATATGTCTTCCTTTTACAATTAGTCCCAGCAACATTTTGCCCAGAATCCATATAACATTTCACTTACAACTAACTCGTCCAGCACCGCCAATAACTTAGTCCACCATACTAAGTATCAGCCAGTACACAGGCTGGTCTATGTCCAGTGAAGCCGGTAATTAGTCTGTCGGCTCGATAACAGCCTGTATTGTGGCTGTAAGACGCATTGTGCCGCATGGGGGCGCTGTGTGCGCAAGCACTGTGACGTCACTAAGACAAACTGCATCTATTTGTGTGTAGTAGTTGATAATGTCATGTTGGACTTGTGATAGGGATGATCGAATATTTGGTTTGGTATTGAATTGCAACTGCAGCGTTATACAGGTCTTTGGCGATCCTCGAAGTGCTACCAACGACTGCACGGTTGGCGCGTTGGCTGGGCAACTGGCGACGTGTCGCGGATTTAATTCTCACACGGAACAACTCTTTGTGTGGTATCGTCATTGTCACTGGGTCGTCTTAATGTAAAAACCTATCTTAGGCTTCGAAGCAATTTCTTGGCCTGATAAAGCAATCTTATTTTTACAATAATTATTATACAATAAAACAAAAAAAGTACATTTTGGCCTTATGAACAATGTAAAATTGAAAACTGCAAATTGTCATGCCTTTTTTTAATACTTTATGATACTTTTAAATACGTTCATTAGCGAGTGTATGAATCTAGGACACTGGATATGGCACACACTACACTATACACTAAGGAATACTTATGTAGGCCCAATCCAATACTGCTGGCCCGGTGGCTGGGCAACGGACTGCAGCGCAACAACTCAATGAGCACGTGAAATTGTATGTTTGTAAACCCACCCACTACATAGGAGAAAATCTTAGCGTGGGAAAAAGGTTTAAAAAAATCTCTATCCTAAAATCCCTAATCTAATACAACAAGAGGCCGGCAACGCACTTGAAGTAGGTAACTCCTTTAGTATTGCAGGTGACCACGGGCGGCGTCGATTGCTTACCATCAGGTAATCAGTCTGAAAGCTTGCCGATCTTCCCTTAAAGCAATTGGTATATGCGAATAGCTATGATAACCTTTATTCATATGTATGTAAAATATTAAAGATTCATTTTATCCGTCCGGCAAATAATGTAATAAAAAGTTTTATTGTTATTTTGTGTTATAAAACAACAAGTTATCTATTACTTCTCGCATTATATCTGCTGACAGTCATTCATGTCCTTGAGACGAATTAAGTGTTTCAGCGTTTTCATGGCTGTATTTAATAGATCGTGTAGACAGCAGTTGCAGTGGTTTAAGCAGGTTGTAACATGCTTGATAAAAAGAAAACAAAATCAGCCATTATAACCAGCTCATGAGTGCCTACTGTAGACCGAGGCCCTCATACACCAAAAAACCCGATTGATCTTGATCTTGACTTGGTCGTCAAGACCAAGTCGGATCAATCGGGTTAGCAATGTTATCTTTTACTATACTTAAGTCAGTGGTGAAAAAACTAATTAACTTTAAGTATAAGTATGAGACAGCCATTCTTTGGTATGAATTGGTCGGCTCGACCGGAGTGATACCACGGCCTTACTGAAAACCGCCGTCAAAAATAGCGTTCTGTTTCGCCGTGTGAGAGAGGTTACAGGAGGCCCAAACCTTCCAAACCCTTATTCTCAAGGTCGGGAACGCACTCGCACCTTCTTTGGTCCATGGGCGCCACTGATTGCTTACCATCAGGTAATCCGTCTGGTCTTTTGCCGACTTAACTTATAAAAAAACTAATTTATAAAGACAAAAATTAAACTAATATAAGACACCATCCCTGTTTTTCTTTTTGTGAGGGGAAAATCATCAAATGACTTCTCCCCAGAAGTGTCAGACTCTTACTGACTAAGAACCCCCCCGCTCCGTCTCCTGCTCTGGGCCGAGGTCGCGGTGCCGTATTGCGCTTACCTCGCAACCCTGGCTGAACATCAGCCCTATAGGGCCCCGTCTGCTATAGGGCCCCGTCTGACACCATCCCTGTTACATTTGCGTGCGGGCGTAGTAACAATGAGAAGCTATATACATAGTTATATTTTAAAATGAAACAAACAAAAGTACTGATTTATTGAGCACGTTTATTTATTATGTTACAGTATCAATGTGTTCTAATAGTTACGAGTAAACACGGGGCTATACCTAGTATGTACAGTTACAATATAAACTAATATTAGCTAACTATTGAACACTAAACCGTATCGAGTATTTCATTCAAATGTCATCGTTAAAACGTATTACATAGTATATATAGTTTTAAATTAGCTGCAGTACAGTGTGTGGCGATAAATATATCACATCAACCTTGGAAAGAAACAATCGGCTGAATCTGCATGACGATAAGAAAACAAAAACTTGTCGAATCACAAAAAAATCATAAAAAAGAAATTGTACATATAAATGATGTTATGTAATATTACACAGAATTATCTGTTTTCAAAACTTAATGTGCAATATTTATTGCCGGGTATTGTATTTGTTGCAGCCAACTAGCATAATTAGATATTCAACTAACTGCCTACGTGACTGACTGATTTTGGCAGACCTACGACCCGTACAGAAATCAAATCACAATGATAAATAAACTGCTATCAAAATTGTACTACGACATCATCAATTAAACAGTCTAGGTAGTTACTTGAATTTCTTATTTATCCAGGTGACTGTGACATTATGAACAGTACAAATAGTACAATTTAAATTTTGAACATAGACGCCTGTGCGCCAATCAACTATCGATATATTTATAAGTTGCTCTCTGATTGGCCAGCTCCAATGTAACCAACCAATCAGAGGGCTAAACGTAGTAACGTTTTAATGGCGTTTAGGTTTGTGTACCAAAAATATAATTAGTTGACTAATGAACTCTAAGAAGAATATTAAAATTACTTTTCTATTTTTAATCTCATATCTGTTCTATTTCTACTCAGAGTTACTTTATTTACATTCTTATTTATTAGATAAAGAGAATTGTATAATTAATTGAAAGTTTTATTAATAAACTAGAGGAATTTTGATTATTATAAGATCATTTTCTTACTACAATAAATTAATATAAAGTTAGCACAAGACGTCGTAATTTATTAAGAGACATTCAAAATGGCCACGTCATAAAGTTTCTTGAATATTTAAATTTAGAAAAAGAAATGGAACAAAAATAATTTATTTTGTCGACAATGAGTACGACAACCGATTAATATTGATACTTGACTACATTACTATTATTTATTAATACGTATTTAGGTATAACATTATGTCTGTATGTATTTACATGTTTTTACATTCAGCAGCGTTGCACGCTACTCTCAATTAACGTAGTCACTATCAATTCCTACTCTACGACAAATGCTACAAGTAAATCTCAACTATACTATTAAGTACATAAGGTAGTATTTAGTTTCTAAAATTACAATAATCTAGTCATATAAGCGAGCATACCAACGTCATATTTACATAAATATTCTTAATCTTAATATTTTTTGAAATATCAAATTGCTTAGAAAATTAAATATTAATTTATCATTAAGGAATTAGAAAGAAATAAAATCATTTTTTATGATATTTTATCGATATTTACATAGAATTAAATTTAGATTAATTATATTCAATAATGTTTGTGTAAATAAAACACATTTATTTTGTCGTATACCTAATAATGGAGTCGCTACAAACATTTTTATAATAAGCCTATAATTTGAAAAGTATCAAGATTATCTATAGTTGCTTTACTAATATAAAGTGACTATGATATCAAATAGAGTCTTTGTCACAGCACTATTCTACAGGCTAGTGACGTCACGCACCGTTGCAGTCACTTCACAATACAAAGACTGACTTCCAAGCACTCTCCAATGACACAGCACGGTGGAACAATGACACACTGCATCCCAATAACGGATTAGAGCACAGTCCAATATTTCAGGTACCCCTAATCAGAAAACCCGTCATTATTCGTATTGTCAGACGTTGGAGAGGTCCCTGGTGATGGTACCTGCAGCTGTCTTCCGTACATGAGCTCAGATGGAGGCATGAATGAGGACAAGTACTCAGGAGGTGGTCGGATCACCGTCGGTAGGTACCCAGTGCCACTGTAGGGCGGTGTCAAAAACCGGCGCGACGGAGAAAACTTGAAGCTCTGGTTCGACAGCGGAGAGAAGGCAGACTTTGACTGATACTGCATGTACGGAGGTGACTCCTGGGTCACTTGGTAAGGGTTCGCGTTCTCCCCGTTAATCATCATCTCCATCGCAGCTACCACGTCACCCTTGCACCTCGCCAGGATCCCTTCAATCTCCTGTCGACCGCGTCTAGGGAACACCTTTATTAACACATCTACAGGCGACTTTTGGTACGGAGATGGGTCTTCAGCCACAGTCTCCACCGTCTCCTTCCTCTCTCGTCTGAACATCTTGTATTTGAAGTCAGGGTTCTCCCATTTATCTTCTTCTTCTTTTTTGACGGGAACTTCTTCTCTTTGCTCTTTCATTGAAAGGTTTTCGGGTGTGAGTGATGGTTCTGTTTCTTCTAGTTCTTCTTCTACGTTTAATTCGTGGTCTGAAGGCGAACGCGGGGGTGGAGTAGCCAGTGGTGGGGTGGGGGCGGGTGTTTTTGATTCTTGTTGCGATTCTGTTGGCGGTGATGGACTGGAGCATACTTCTGTGATGCGGGCGCGCTTTTGAACTGTTGACAAAGAACATTTTGTTAGAATTTTAGAATCAACTTGCATTTGTGATTATGAAATTATTATAGGCACAAATAAAACATGTAAGTAATTTTAGCATATAGGTTCAAGGTTGTAAATCGTATATCTGAGTACAAATTCCCCTCTGTTGTCAAAGGTCAAACACTTTGGCGCATTGCCGCCTACACTCGCAGTGTAAAAATAAAACGCACTCAAATATTGTACCAGCTACACAGAATAACGAATCAATTTAAAAAGAAAAAAAGAACATTCGAAAATCAAACAAAGACTGTTTCTGTGAAACATATTCGTTTCGAAATTCAAAAAATACACATGGGTCCGACAAAAATAAAATACAGTCGAGAACAAAAGTACAAACAATTTGAGAGAACAAAAAGGACGAGGCAGTGTGCGTGCTGCGAGGTGGGGTGTACACTGTTTTACTTTTAATGTGGTTTTACTTGAAATAATGGCATACAAATGAAGAGAGGACGTTTTAAATATTATATTTTTGTTTGTGTAACGTGACTGACGAGTGAAATCTTGAGTAGGTACCGTTTCTTGAGCTATTCCAACAATAGACAGCCCAAATTGTATGCCTAGTTAAGATTTGTCTCAAACTCTAAGTCTTTATTTGCATATTAAGAAAATGTACAGAGATCTTGAATTAAATAGATACAGGCACAATATAACGGCCTTTGTCACGCGTTGCAAATTTGTCCACTTACTAATATTAATTAAAATAACATTTACAATTTCAAAGAATTTGACTGAACATTGGATATTGTTAGTATTCTGTAACCAAGTACCTATGTGCAGGAAACATATTATTATTTGTATCGTAACCGCGTTTTTTTATTGAAAAACTAACGACACGCACTGGCAATGTTGATATCAAATATCTCCACCATTAAATGTCACGTTGTTATTGTACATACAAACTTTCCTCTTGAATCATTCTATCTACTGAAAGAACGGCATCAAAATTGGTTTCATAGTTTTAAACATTTAAGCATACATACAAACTAATCCAAAGTAATATTATAAATGCGAAAGTAACTCTGTGCGTCAGTCTGTCTTTTCTTCACGCCTAAACTACTGAACCTATTTGTGTGAAATTTGGTACAGACATAGTTTGGAACTCGTAAACGGACATGGGATAGACACACGAGCACACAGGACATTTTTTAAACAAAAACCTGCAGGAAGTCACTGTTCCACGTGCACAGTCGCGGGTAAAAGGTAGCAGGGATATTATAGGGACAGAGAAAATGAATTTGAATTTTATTTACTATGCAGTGATGACCTTGAGCTCTTAATAAAATGCTTTTTCTTTTCTATTCTTTTAATAATACCTCGTTACTTATGCTAGGCACAAGGATTTCTTACATCTACACAGTATGCTCCGAAATAAAACGACACGTATACCCGTGGCTACACTTATACAGGGTGTGCACAAGTCGTACCAGTCATTGTGTTGCCGCAATTAAAGCAAGTCGGCGCAGTCGTCTGAACCAATTTAATGGCCCAAGTTATTGTTTTTTTTAACGTTGACGTTGACGTGGGGTATCGAGAGTTTATTCCACTCTTAATAAGGTTTAATGGATGTACTGTTATACTGGTAGTAGGCAGTTTTGCACGGGTTATGCCATGATGGTAGGCACCATACAACCTTTTTGATAAAACCTTTTTTCTTGATGACAGGCGACCTCCTTTCTAACCACAAACAAAAATATAACAGGTAGCTGTCATCTATCACAAAAAAACACATTAATTCATATTCAAAAATGGAACGCTATCCGTCAATTTAAAAACCATAAAAGCATCTCGAGTGAGCCGAACAGTCATTGAAATAAATCGACTGCGACCATTAAAATGTAATCGAGACTCTGGCAGCCTCCGCAAAAAACGATTACATTGAAAAGACACTGAGTATAAGTGAACCAATTCAATGAACACAATCATCAATGTAAACCGTTCTTTAAGAATAAATCGAATGAAAAGAAAAAATACGAGAATCGTTTTTGTGTTATAATAAAAAGTCCGCCCTCGCAAGAAAAAAATATTCAATTAAAATAATACGAAAACTTTTTATACAATACAAACAACTTTTATTGAATTACAATAAAGCGAATACTGGCCATTTTGAATCTCATTATGTGTGCGAGTGAGAGAGGGGATAGTGTTTTTGTGTTTGTGTGAAAGAGATGAATGGAGGTATTGAAATGTAGGTAGAATGAATACAGACATCTGCTGGTAAATGATGCTGATGGCAATGTTTTGCTTTTTATTTGTTGTGTATCAACAATGTAAAGCCTGCAGGGATTTACGAGGGGACCTCTATAATTATAACTATATTAATATCAAACTATGCTAATAATTAACTGATTTAAATAGTTAATTTCAATGTCTGTGATTTTATTTTTCCTGCTTTCCATTTTGAGTCTGTCAAATTTCGATTTTTTTTAATATCCTTCTTAAAATTTCCTCAGAAAAGTAGGTTTATTTAATTCCATGTTTATTTAATGTCTGTGAAAATTAGGGAAGATTATTAAATAGTATAAAACAAAGTGCCTTTCTCAGTCCCTATATTCCTGTGTGTGCTTAAACCTATAAAACTACGCAACAGATTTTGATGCAGTTTTTAATAGATAGAGTAATTGAAGAGGAAGCTTTAAATAAATAATAACATCTATAGAATAGTGGAAAATTTAGTATCAGTATTGCAACCGTGCATAACCGGGGCGGATCGAGAATATAGACAGAGTAATTTTTATATAAATAATATCATCCATAAAATAGTAGAGAATTTTTGTATCAGGATTGCAAACGTGTATAACCGGGACGGATCGAGAGTACAATATAAATTATCATCAAAGATTTCGTAGCACCGTCGTAGCAGTTCGTAGCACTCGTAGCAAAAACATCTACAATGTTACTATGAGTAGATTAGTTACATTTAACAAATAAGGTACAAAATCATGATGATATGAATTTGAAACTAGTAAATTATAACATGGAGGCTACAGCAATGATTAAGATAAATGTAAATTGGTGTAAATATTTGAGCACATATCGGGGTCTCCCCAGAATTAAATAAGTCGTTTACATTTCCAGTTTTACTAACAATATTAGGTATCCTTGAACTAGGCTAGTGCGCAGTTGCAGCAGTCAATCCTTTCGTAACCATTTTTGAATAATATACCTTACTAATATTACAAATGTAAAAGTTAAAAACATATTTAATTGTATTGAAAGCTTGAACGAATTCATTTTTGACCGAGGAAAATACCCAATTTTGGGTATAACAGTAACTACGTACGTACTAAATTAATTTTCTATTTACACAATGAACTCCACACATTTCCATTTTCCCCTATACAATAACGCGCGTGTGTCGACACTCCGGCAATGTTTCGCGTAGATTTATGCGTCTGCTTATAACACTGGCCGGTCGCGCGAACAAAAGCTGCATTGTATTGTGTGCATTATAATGTCACTGCGTTGCGGCAACTATTGTTGGTACTGGCCGATATACGACGCGCAGTTTCCTTTATTACGTACTAACTTTAATGTCTGTATTACTGAAATTAAATTCTGCTTTAATAAGAAATATCTTTGTTGATGTAAGTTGAATAAATTCATACTTATTTCCTATGAGGATAAGTTTGAATTTTCTTCAGCTTTCATCTTATTATAATACATTTTAAAATAGGTAAACTACATAGTTTATTTAAAACTAGCGACCCGTCCTAGCTTCGCACAGGTGCAATGGTGATACTAAATTTCTCCACTGTTAAATGGATATTATTTTACATATAAACATTCCCCTTTAATCAGACTATCTATTTAAAAAGTGCATCAAACTCCGTTACCTGATTTCATAGGGACAGATGGATTATTCTGGCAATATATAGGTTTATTAGGAGTTTCAAAAAACATGATACATTTAAGTATAGGTATTAATGTTCCTCGTCCATTGCAAAAATACGCATTTAAAAAAAGAACGGTTAAGTAGTCCCATCAAAATACACGCAACATAAAATGCGAATGCATGATTCGTAATTTCGTAAACATTAGAAACAAGCGTCAGCCAGCAACTTTGCCCCTTTTCTGCACTCGGCTTAAATATGTTAGTCTAGTAGCTGTATTAAAGAGTACAAAACAACACATCCACACGCAAGCTTTCACCTTGATAACATTAGTCGGATACCCAAACTTGTAGCGAAGTATCTAGGTACTTACTCAAAGTGGGAAGGTTCAAGCAATGATATATATCGCGCGACAGTCATACAAACACATAATTACAGTGCAATGTTTAGCAAGCGAAACATCGCGCGTACAGTCGCCGCCATAAATCAGTGTGCACAAAGCCGCAGCGGCGCGTCGCTCGCCCCGCGCATTGTACTCAAGATTTAGTGCGCGCTGTCCGTGACTGTACGCCTGTAGTACGCTCTGCGCCACTAGCATTACTATTCATCCATGTTACTTTGGCAGGGGATGCTTGGTGCTTGGATACTGTCGTTTGAACCCGACCAGAAACAAACGACTGTTCCTTTCGAGAAGTTACCAAACTTTTTAGAAAAACTCTACCTCTAGCTTCAAATCGCGACGTAACTCTAATTCATGAGCAGCGCGGGGACAACTGTAATGGTAGTCTTTCTAAAAGCAAGTTCTTTAAGTATCAGAGCCATGCTTCGGCACAAATGGGCCGGCTCGACCGGAGTAATACCACGGCCTCGCAGAATACCGACGTAAAGTAACACTTACGTTATGTTATGTCGTGTGTGTGAGGTTACCGGAGGCCCAATCCTTCGCCCACCATCCTTAATCTTCAAATCCTAATCTTTAAATCCCAAATAACCACAAGAGGCCGTCAATGGCGTGAACGGCATCCGTACCGTGTAACTCCTTTGGTATTATAAGTGTCCACGGACAGTGCTTATTATTAACCTTCAAGTAATCCGATTGCTCTTATATCTATCTTTATATGTATGCC